AGAGAAATTAATGCCTAACAAATCCCCAGGCCCTGTTGAACTGTTTGCAATGGTTTTCAAGGAATGTAAAGAGGAACTTAGCATGCCTTTGGCTAATCTTTTCAATATATCACTACAAACTGGCATAGTGCCAGACAAGTGGAAAATGGCAAATGTAATACCTGTTTACAGGGCAGGTTACAGATCCTTAGCTTCGAACTACAGTGGACCCTCGCCTAACGATATTAATCCGTTCCTGAGAGCTCATCGTTAGCCGAAATTATTGTTAGCCGAGTTAATTTTCCCCATAAGAAATAATGGAAATCCAATTAATTCGTTTCAGACAGCCAAAAGTATTAAAAAAAATTTTTTTTTCATGAAATATACATTTTCCTACAAAGAAAACAATAAGACATGCACAATAACTACATAAATAAATGTTAAAATGACACTTACCTTTATTGAAGAGTATTGATGAGTGATGAGACACTGTTTTTCTTGAACACGGATTTTCAGAGTGATACACCAGTAAAGGCTTCACTTTGCAATCCCCACTAGCATTACAACAAAACATGAGAGTTAGCTTGTCTTTCATAGGCTTGTGTCCTGGGAGTGCCTTTTCCTCCTGAGTAGTGTAGGTCCTGTTTGGCATTTTCTTCCAGAACACGTTTGTTTCGTCACAATTGAACACTTGTTGGGGGATGAATTTTTCAGCTTTGCCATGCCTTATTGCACTGTGTATGCCACTACAAATCTTAAATCTCTCAAACCAACCTTTGCTGGCTTTAAATTCACCAATATGAGCACTAGTTCCAGGCATTTTTTCCTGTTCACCTGGGTGTTAGTTGACTGTTGTGGGTCGCATCCTGGGGGACAAGATTAAGGATCCCAATGGAAATAAGTTAGACAGTCCTCGATGATGCACTGACTTTCTTGGGTTATCCTGGGTGGCTAACCCTCTAGGGTTAATCATTTCTCGGTAATTGTTTCACGTTAAGCCACACCAACAACACTCTCTCCACATCTTTGAGTAGTACAGCTGATGGTGGTGCAGCAACAGCTGACTGTGGTGCAGCAGCAACTGACTGTGGTGCAGCAGCAGCTGACTGTGGTGCAGCAGCAGCTGACCATAGTGCAGCAGCAGCTGACTGATCCAGCAGCAGCTGACTGGTCCAGCAACAGCTGACCGTGGTGCAGCAGCAGCTGGCTGATCCAGCAACAGTTGATTGGTCCAGCAACAGCTGACTGGTCCAGCAACAGCTGACTGTGGTGCAGCAGCAGCTGACTGATCCAGCAACAGTTGACTGATCCAGCAACAGTTGACTGATCCAGCAACAGCTGACTGATCCAGCAACAGCTGACTGGTCCAGCAACAGCTGACCGTGGTGCAGCAACAGCTGACCGTGGTGCAGCAACAGCTGACTGATCCAGCAACAGCTGACGGGTGCAGCAGCAGCTGACTGTGGTACGATAGTATTTATCACCCTTTTTACCACAGGGTTGGCACTAGAAGCTTTCTTTGGGCCAATGGTGACTTATTTGGCAGTTACAAGCGCTATAAATAATGGAATAATACAAAATGTATCGAATGTATGCATGCAACCGGCCACCCTGGCTTGTAAACAATGACAGCAAGGCAGCCGAGACGTTCAGGCTAGACGGACAGGTTCGGGACGAGTCATGTTCAGAAACAGCTGATGATGGTGCAACAGCAGCTGACTGTGGTGCAGCAGCAGCTGACTGATCCAGCAACAGCTGACTGGTCCAGCAACAGCTGACCGTGGTGCAGCAGCAGCTGACTGATCCAGCAACAGCTGGCTGATCCAGCAACAGCTGGCTGGTCCAGCAACTGCTGACCGTGGTGCAGCAGCAGCTGACTGTGGTACGATAGTATTTATCACCCTTTTTACCACAGGGTTGGCACTAGAAGCTTTCTTTGGGCCCATGGTGGCTTATTTAGCAGTTACAAGCACTATAAACAATGGAATAATACAAAATGTATCAAATGTATGCATTCATCCGGCCACCCTGGCTTGTAAACAATGCCACCTGCGGAACAAGTGAGGCTGGCTCAGGCCGCACACGGACGTGTCTCTGATGAATTGCGTTGAGCGAGTTTTTTAGTGCTAGGCGAGGCAAATTTTTTGCGTTAAAATGTATCGCTAGGCGGATTTAACGTTATGTGATGCCAACGTTAGGCGAGGGTCCACTGTATAGACCAATAAGCTGTAGTGGGAAAATTTATAGGATCAGTAATTGCCGAAACAATTCGTAGCCATCTTGAAAGGCATAAATTGATTAATGAATCTCGGCATGGTTTTACAAAGGGGTCTTCCTCTCTTACGATTTACTGACTTTCTTCAGCAAGGTATTTGAGGAGGTAGATCATGGTATTGAATATGATATTGTGTATATGGACTTCAGTAAGGCTTTCGATAGAGTTCCACATCAGAGGCTATTGAGGAAACTTAAGGCACACGGAATAAGAGAAATTTTTTCCTGGGTAGAGGGATGGTTGACAAATAGGCAGCAGAGAGTTTGCATAAATGGGGAGAAATCAGAATGGGGACACGTCACAAGCGGTGTTCCACAGGGGGTCAGTGTTGGGCCACTCGTTCACAATTTATATAAACAACATAGATGAGGGAATAAATAGTGACATAAGCAAATTTGCTGAGAACATTAGATCACTCCAGGATGATTTGAATATGTAGACTGATGCAGTGGTTGGAGAAATGGCACATGCAATTTAATATAGACAAATGCAAAGTTCTAAATGTTGGGCAAGAAAATAACCATGCCACACATAAACTAAATAATGTAGATCTTAATTTTACTGATTGCGAAAAAGATTTAGGAGTTCTGGTTAGCAGTAATCTGAAACCAAGATAACAGTGCACAAGTATTCGTAACACAGCTAACGGAATCCTTGGCTTCATATCAAGTATATAAATAACAGGCTCAACAGGCACATACCAGGGAACTAATGAGACTTTGTGAAGAGTACTCTTTAAACCAACAAGTAATTGATCCCACTAGAAATGAAAATACTCTGGATTTGATATTCACAAACAAGGAGGAACTGATCAGAGACATGACAGTTAAAAAAAAAATATATAATCTGATCATAATGTCAGAGGTTCAAACGAGTATTAACTAAGGGTTAGGAAACTGTGTCACTAATGTTAGAGATGGGATGTTCAGTAAGCTTAATTTTAACAACCATAGAATTGACTGGGAAAAAATAAACCAAGAGCTATCAGACATATCCTGGAAATCAGACATGAGCACCTTAAATTCCCATCGGTGCCTAGAGAAGCTAAATACAGAAGCATACAAGGTATGTATGAAACACGTACCATTGAGGAAACCCAGAAGATGATCAGATATAGAGAGAGAGCATAGGAGATGGTACAGAAGAAGAAAACGGGTTACCGAATTGCTTAAAAACACAAATATGCTACAACAGAGGAAAAATAGACTTAGCCAAGAGATCACTGAATTAGAGCAAAAACTTAGGATGTCATACCTCACAGAAGAAGTACAAAGGGAACAAAGTGCCATACAGGATATTGCAAGAAACCCAAAATATTTCTATTCCTACACAAAATCCAAGGTAAGAGCTACCTACAGAATTGGACCACTACTGAGAGGAGACTCGTATACTGACGATAAACAGGAAATGAGTAAAATCCTAAAAGAAGAGTTTGAGTCGGTGTTCAGCATCCCACTAAATGACAGCAAGGTAGAAAATGCAGAAATATATTTCACTTCAGAAGAAGGCCACATAGACCAACTAACTGACATTAGTACAAATCCCATAGTTTTCGAAAAAGAAATGGAAAACATGCCCACTCACTGGACCAGATTCATGGAATGCTCTGTTTATAAAGAAGCGCAAAGTACCACTAGCACAAGCCCTCAGTATTCTTTGGAGAAAAAGCTTAGATTTAGGTGAAATACCGGAGGCCTTAAAGAGTGCAGACATAGCTGCTTTGCATAAGGAAGGTAGTAGAGCACTAGCTAAAAATTACAGGCCAGTAGCCCTTACCTCGCACACCATAAAATTCTTTGAAAGAGTGATGAGACGGCAGATTACAAATTTCATGGAGCAGCACAACGAACATAACCCGAACCAGCATGGTTTTAGATCAGGACGATCATGCCTGTCACAGCTGCTGAACCGTAATGAGAGAGTTACGGAGGCATTGGAAGACGACCAAAACGCAGATGTGATTTACACAGATTTTGCAAAGGCGTTTGACAAATGCGATCGTGGAGTGATAGTGCACAAAATGAAGGCCAAGGGGGATT